GCCCCAGGAGGAGGCCAGGACACAATAAAACACGGCAGAACCCTCAGAAATAGAGGAAGAAAACAAAAGTAACTGCAGTATGTTATTAGAGCCCGCTTGGGACTTCAAATTTGAGGGAATTCTTTCTCAGCTAAGGTTTCATAATGGGACAATAGTTGTCCACAGAACAGCATCAATTTAGCACAGAGATGAAACAGTTATTAAACGCATGTGGTGCCTCTGTTACAGAAGTACAACTAAAAATCTTATTAAAATTATGATTTATAATCCTTGGTTCCCTAATGCTGGAACGCTAGACCTTAATTTCTGGGAACAAGTGGGCAGGCATTTAAAGAGAAATCAGGCCCGGGGAAAACAAGTGCCCTTATCATCACTAATTATGTGGACTCTTGTTCAAGCTACATTATGCCCACTTTATATTGAAGATCAAACCCTACAGAGCCACAGGAGGACTTGCCACCGCCCCTCCTCCTGAAGCAGAGCCCGTGGAGCCTGTAACACCTAAAGCTCCACCGCTGGAGGAAATATTTCTTGATCCTCCGCCTCCGGTGCAGGAAGGCTCATCAACTAGATCCTCAGTTATGGGATCCTGTGTCAGGCAAGCCATGTTAGGAGAGCTTTTAGCCTGCCCAGTTATCAAGATCAACAAGGTGGTAGAGTTTATGAGCTGCTCTCTTTTAATACCTTTAAAGAAATAGGGAAAAGTCTTAGAGAAAAGGAGGCTAACCGTCGATTAACTAAAGGCCGCCTTAATGCCCTGTCTGAAAATTATCACATGACTCCTTGGGACTGACAGATTTTGGCCAAGACAACTTTAGACACCAGTCAACATTTACTATGGAGAGCAGAATATAATGAGATCTGTGAACACCAGGCTGTTTATGGGTGTTCACTAGCCACCCACACCAGAGTCCTCTGGGCCATACCTAGCTGTAACTCCCGGGCACTAAAAAACATCTTCTGAAAGATCCATGGAAAGGACTCTGGTTTATTAGGTCTTGTCTGTAGGTTATGCACGCCTATTAACTAATGTTGTTCATAGAGTGTCTCTTTGTTGTATATCTTAGTTGTTTAGTTTTATTGGTTTAAAGATAGGGCACATTTCATTTTACTAGGGGCCCCAGCCACTTGTAACAGGCTGAGCTCATAATAGGGATTACAGGAACTTCCCAACAGCTGCCGAGTATCAGTAAGGATATAGAATACTCGAACAATGCTTCAGCCACTTGATCTAGGGTATATGTGGAATCCTCTACAAGGAACAGAAGTTTACACATTCTTTTAAAATACATATGGAATATTTATTAAGACAGACCTTGTTGTTGGTCATAAAGTAAGTCTCAATAAATTTAGAAGGACTGAAGTCATTCAAAGTATGTTTCCAACCACAACATAATTAGAAATAAAATCAGATCTCCTTCTGCAAAGAAAGAAAGAAATTCATGTCATACCTCACTCTATATACAAAAATGAACTCAAATGGATCAAAGACTTAAATATAAAACCTGTAACTCTCAATTTTTTAGAAGAAAGGGTAAGAGATAATCTTGTGACCTTTGATTATGTGAAGAGTTTTTAGATAACACCAAAACATGGTCTAGGAAAAAAAAATTATGAATGAGATTTCATGATAATTAAGAACATCTAATTTTCAAAAAGTATTGTTAGGCCAAAACCGGTTTGGCTCAGTGGATAGAGCATCTGCCTGCATACTGAAAGGTCCCAGGTTGGATTCCAGTCAAGGGTATGTACCTTGGTTGTGGGCACGTCCCCAGTTAAGGGTGTGCAAGAAGCAGATGATCGATATTTCTCTTTCATCGATGTTTCTAACTCTCTATCCCTCTCTCTTCCTCTCTCTGTGAAAAATCAATAAAATATATTTTAAAAAAAAGTATTGTTAGAATGCGAAACAAATCACAGATTGTGAAGGGAAATTGCAAATCACATAGCTGAAAAAGTAGAATACAGAATATATAAAAACTTAAAATTTAATAAGACATAAAATAAAATGGCAAAAGGTTTGAATAAAAATTTTATCAAAGTGTATTGATCATCTTTTTCTGTATCAAATAAACAGAAAAAGATGATCAATACCATAACATAATTATTGAGGAAATACAAATTAAAGCCACAACAATATTCCACTGTGTCACTGTGCTTAGTTACTATGTCTTTAATTGAAAAGCTTGACCATTCCAAGTGTTGGCAAGGATGTTGAGAACCTGGGCTTTCACGCACTATTAATGGGAGCATAAAATGGTAAATCATTTTGGTAAACAGTTTAGAAAACTTTTTAACATTTTAAGGAAAAAGAAACTTGGAGCTGTCATCTAACTCAGGCATTCAACTTCCAGATGTTTACCAAGAAAAATGAAAGCAGGTAGCATATCAAGACATGTACAAATGTGCACAGCGGCTTTTTTAAGTTCATCCAGAGGTAATAGATTTCAAAATAACCATGCTGTGTAAAAGAAGCCAGATAAAGATAGACTAGATATTATGTGACCCCCCCCTTTTTTTTAAAATAAAACTTTAGAAAATGGGAACTAAGCTGTAGTGTCAGGCGGGGCAGGGGTGGGGCACAGAGGAGCAGGTGGGTAGGACTACAAAGAGCCCCAGGACGCTTTAGGGATGGAATCTGTCTGCTCTCATAACAGAGGCGAGGGCTTCACAGCTATACACCTCTGTCAAAACTTACCAAATTATTCACTTTAAACATGTGTAGTTTAATATTTGTTAATTATATCATGATAGAGATGTTTTAAAACTAATCACCACAAGCTTTCTTCTGTATTTCTTGGTATAAATATTTCAGTAATTTTATTTTAAACATTTTAGTATTTTTATATTTTAAGTGTGTACTTTGTGAACATTTGAAAGCTAGGTTTTACTGAATACAATATGCACTTAATACGTACTTACTGACTATTCAATAACAAGTCCAATATGGTAATCTCAATCTTTGATTTAGTCTAGAGTTTTGTTCATGCATATTCATTATGAAAATTTTTAGTTTATTTCTAATATTTTATTCTTTTGATTTCTCTCACGTCCCTCCTCCCTTTCTTCCTCCCCCTTTTTCCTCTACCTGTTTTTTCTTTTCTTTTTTCCATTTGCCTTCATTTGCATTGATTGAAAATATTTTGACCCCTCATTGCAACTTTTCCCACTCTTTTAGAATTATATACTCTATTTTATTGGTTATCTTGGAAATTTTAATATACATATTTTAACATAAAGTCTAAAAGTACACAATACCTTTACTTCCCCTAGAATATAAGGACCTTACACATGGTGGCTTATTTGTATGTATATATGTAATAATTTCACTTTTATTCTCCTAAGTAGACAAAAGTCCTATGGTATTTTATATTTCTTTCTTTTAAAATATATCTTTATTGAATTCAGAGAGGAAGGGAGAAGGAGAAAATGATAGAAACATCAGTGATGAAAGAGAATCAATGATAGGTTGCCTCCTGCACGCTCCCTATTGGGGATGAAGCACGCAACCCTGACTGGGAATCTAACTGGTGACCTCTTGGTTCCTGGCTCCATACCATGCTGGCCATGCCTTATAGCATTTAAATGAAATTTTCAGATGACAGGGGTAGCATGGAATCCAGCTCTCAAGTTTTGGCAGGGTAGATATGGGGCAAGAAATTCCCAAGGGTGGGCTGTTTCCCCTCCCCACCTTCTCAAGAGCCAAAGCTGCGATGGGCCAGGCTCCTCCTGCAGGATGAGCTTTCTTTTTCTTCTTCAACCAGGGGGATGCTGCCCTTTACACTTCAGATTTACCCAGGTCCTCCATCTGATCTCCTACCATCTCTTGTGGCTTTGAATTATTTCCTATACTTTTTTTATTCCTCACCTGAGGACATGTTTTTATTAATTTGGAGAAAGAGAGAGAGGGAGAAACAGAGAGAGAGAGAGAGAGAGAGAGAGAGAGAGAGAGAGAGAGAGAGAGAGAAACATCAATGTGAGAAATATTGATTAGTTGCCTCTTGTATGTGCCCTGACTAGGAATTGAATGTGCAACCCAAGCATATGCCCTGACTGGGAATTGAACCTACAATCTTTTGGTGCATGGGACCATGTTCCAACTAACTGAGCTACCTGGCCAGGGCTCTACACATTTTTAATTAATGAGAAATATTAATATGTTTTCTATTCTCCAAGCTTTCTGATGAATAGTGCAGTGACTAAGAATGTAGTTTTGGAATTTTGAGTGTTTGGGATTCAAATCAAGACTCTACTACTTATTTCCCGTGTCTTTGGGCAAATTAATAAAAATCTATGTACCTTGATTTCCTCACATGCAAAGGGAGGGGCAGTGATAGTACCTGCCTTACAGATTGTTGTTGCACTAAATACTTTCATACAGTTAAAGAGCTTAGGACAGTCCCTGGCATACGGTAAGAACTCAGGCATGAGCTGTTGATATTGCTACTATTTTTGTACTTGAAAAAAATGTTCTAAGGTTACACTGAATTCTATTACACAAAGGAGTTAATGCCTTATGATATGAAATGTGGATTTCCATAACAAATAATTTTCAACTTTCAAGTGACATTAGGTAGCTTATTTGTGTCTGAATATAAAGAAATGGCTTTCTCGTTGACAAAATAACAAGTACTTTATATGCATTGTTGTTCTGTTTTTCTTCCTTTTAAAAATTATAATTTCTTATGGTTAGAGTTTCAAAGTCTGTTTTTCAATTATAAATTATTTCTACATGCTCTTGGATCAGCAGATACTCCTACACAGAGAAGCCTCTACCACTTAAACATAGCATGATAACACTTCGTTTTTTTTAAGAGAAAATGATGCCATCAGCTGGTTCCTTTCATTTAGAATCAGAACACATCAGTGTATGTATGCCAGCCCCCAGAACAATCCTGCATATCACACGTGCTAGCGTTGCTCCATTAATAACACTTGAACAAATAAATTTCAAGTTCAAATTTTCTCCCCAAATAACACAGATCACACTTCCCAAATACCTGGTGAATGAAGCTTGGTGGTTGAAACTGCCGCTCTCTTAGGAGATGAAACAGCAGGTTTATTAGCATCTTGGTCTTTTTGTAGTTCTTTCTTTGTTCCTATATATATAGATAAAAAAAATAGAAAGAAAGCAAATTAATTACACAAGCCATTTAGTAACTGTGGAACAGTAACTCAAGCCGTTTGTGGAAAGCGTTGTTTAACAAAAGGCAAACAGAGCAAAGTCCTATTTCGATGATTTGCTGCTCTGGTCAGACCCCTGTGCTTCAGGGACAACACACAGCAAAGGGAATTCAGCTGGAGGGGTCAGGGGACTAAGCACACTGCTGCCTCTGATTTGGTGAGAAAATCCCTATCTTGGGAGATTGCGGCATCCCAATGACCCTGTCTACCTATGTGGGAATTAATATTGTCCTGTCCTTAGCCACCAACATGACCTGCCTGCCTCTTTCTGTAGAAACTAATTTCCAGAAGACTGAGAAGGAAGCTGTCGCTGAAGTAAGTACTGATGACTTCAGCAGCATCGAGGACCCAGCCATGGGGGCCGTGGCCTGCCTCTAATTAATTTCCATGCAGCTGGTCCGCACAGGTGACCTGCAGAGCCTCTGAGCCCTCTCTGCTGCAGCTGAGCCTTTGTGGAATCAGAGCTGGTCCCAGCAGAATGGGGTGTGGTGATATCTCAACAGCAAGTGGCATCTAAGAACAGCTCCTCAAATCATGTCCGGGACACATGGAGCCTTTCTCCCTGTGTGCCGGGCATGGACACTCACCTTCACCAGAGAGTCAAAGAACAATGGATGGAAAATTAGAGAAATAATACAGACCTGGATGGACCTAGACCTGCCTATACTTTAGCAGAGTTCATTATGTCATTTCAAAACCAAACCTTGGTGATGGCTCCTTAGATGCTGAGCACAAACCTCCAACTTTCCCCCAAGCTCTACAGGTAGCCACTGCTGGCAATCCGGTGATTATTCTTCCAGATTTTTTTCTAGGTATTTATAAATATATCTACACATATACAAACAAAGTTATTAATTAACTAAATGAATCACATACTGCAATTTCTTTTTACCTACCACAATTTTTAAGGATCTTTTTTCTTTTTCATATCATTTATTTATGGGTCTTTTAAAAATGTCACATTGCATTAATGGGCAAAGATGTACCATAATTCATTTACCTATCTCTTTCGCTGAAAATTTAGATCACTAGCAAGTTTTGGCTCTTAAAGTGGCTAAATGTGCTATAATAAACATTATTCTATCTATTTCTTTGCACACTCCTACTGGTGTCTTTCCAGGACAAATGCATAGCAGGGCCTTTGCTCATTTACAAAATTGCGAGATGCAGTCTACTGTCCTCTGAAGGACTAATCCACATGCCCAACCAAGAGAGCATGAGAGAAGCTCTTTCCCTACTGACAGTAAAGTCTCAGCACTTAACTTTTGCCAGATTCTTAGAGTATCTTCATATCAGTCATGTGCATTTTCTTATTTGAAAATTGTCTAATTAAATCTTTTGCCCATTTTTCTTATATTTTCCATACTTTCACTTTCAAAAACTTATTTATAGTATCTTTTACTGGACTGTTGTTTTCTGCAGTTTTAATGTGTTCAAATATGTTAATTTTCCCTGTCCAGTTTTAAGAGCACTATTACAGGTTATTTGTATGTCTCTGTGTATGCAAGTGTGTGTGTGTGTTTGTGTGTGTGTGTGTATGTGGTGTGTGTGTGTGTGTGTGTGTGTGTGTGTGTGTGCGTGAGAGAAAGAGAGAGAGAGAGAGAGAGAGAGAGAGAGAGAGAGAGAGAGAGAGAGAGAGAGAGAGGCTGAGGCAGGGTTAATTTATGGGGTTTGGGGAAGGAGGCAGGTATTTGGATTCTACCTCCTTCTTTCTTGTTCTTCTCTGGCCTGATTGGGGCACTGCCTCCCTCACACCATTGCTTCTGCCTCAGCCCCTCTCCATCCTAGTCCACTTGCCTTTAGCTTTTCCATCACAGACTTGTCTTTATCTCTTCTGTTTTAATGCCTTTGGAGACTTTGTTTTAGTCTTGTTGGTTTGAATCTTCTAAGGCTTGAATTCTCTTTCATAGCCCCCCATTTTTCTTCCCACTCTCAATATGCTTTGTGGCATGTAGTAACATACTGTCTTTCACATCTCAGTAATGGTGCCATCCACTCACTGTGCTCAGGTCAGAAACGCCAGGAATTACCTTAGTTGGTTTCTTTGTTTCTTGCCTCCATTCAGCCTGTCAGCAAAGCTTGTTGACTCTCCTGAGACTATCCCCCAGGTCTGACAACATCCCTGCCTTGCATTGCCCCCTCAGAGCCCATGTCACCAACACCCCTTCTGCCTCCTCTACAGCCTCCTGCCTGCTCTGCTAAACCCACCTCCACCCCTACAGCTCATCCCCTCACAGCAGCAGCTGAACTAGTTAAAACCTAAGTTAAAGCAAGTCATTTCCAATTTCAAAACCCTCCAACAATCCCCCAAGACACTCAAAGTGAAATGCCAATTCCTTATTGTACCACAAGGCCCTATACACCAGAACTCTCCAATAGAAACTTAGAATGAGCCACTTATACAATTTTAAATTTTCTTGTAACAACATTTAAATAGTACAGTGAAATTAGCCATAATAAGGTATTTTATTTGATCTACAATTCAATATAACTTCCACATGGCACGGGTCACCTTTCAAGTGCTCAATAACTGCTTCTGGGCTGGTGGCCACCACAGTGGATAGCACAGCCCCAGAAGAACTGGTCTCCTGGCTACTTCACAGACACACTGTGATGGCTGATTTTATATGTCAACCTGACTGTGTGATGGGGTGCCCAGATATTTGGTCAAATGTCATTTGGGGTATACTTGTGTTCTGGGTGTTTCTAAATGAGAGTAACATCTGAATCTGTGTGAGTGTGCCGCAGCAGTCTGCTGAAGGCCCGAGTAGAACAAAAGGCTGACAGGGAAGGATCTTCACCAGCCTGGTTGGCTGAGCGGGACATCAGGTTTCTTCTGCCTTGGACTTGAACTTACCCCATTGGCGGTCCCAGGTCTCCAGATTATTGACTGGAGACTTTGGGATTTCTCAGCATCCATAATCACATGTATATTTAATAAATATATAATATATAAATTCTGCAAAGAATACATGTTTCACAAGATCTGTGATCAGTGCTGGGGCCCTGCCAGCAGGCAAGGGGATCCCAAGGCAGGTGCTGGACGTGGAGGCCACAGGGGCAGAGGCTACCAAGGAGATAGAACTGAACCTCACATCACCCTGCTTGGCCCTAGAGGATGGCTAGTTAGCCAGAGATGAGTAAGATTCCTCAGGGAAGGAACAACCTAAGACAGGCACAGTCAAAGAGTGGCCATCAGGAGAGAATTTGGAGGTCAAAGGAAGTGGGGCACAGACCCCCCCCCCAACTTTGCAGGGGTCTGAATCCTCACCCCTGCTGAGGGAGGTCTCCTGCTCCTGTGCCTGTTTAGCTTCCCATGCCCAGCTCAAATTGGGACCTGGGTAATAGACAGAGACTTGACCGACACCCCTATCTGCAGAACCCAACCCCAGCTCAATCCTGCTGTCACTCTCCTCTGAGCACATGATACAGATGGGGTAACTGCAGCCATGTCAGTTCTCCTATTTTTCTCTTCATCTTTTGCATTCCTTAAAAAAAAAAAAATCTTAAAAAAGCCACACCCAAAGTTCCACCTTTGTACCTTTTTTTTTTTCTTCTTTTTTAAATATATTTTATTGATTTTTACAGAGAGGAAGGAAGAGAGACAGAGAGCTAGAAACGTCGATGAGAGAGAAACATCGACCAGCTGCCTCTTGCACACCCCCTACTGGGGATGTGCTCGCAACCAAAGTACATGCTCCTGACTGGAATCGAACCCGGGACCTTTCAGTCTTCAGACTGAGGCTCTACCACTGAGCCAAACCAGTTTCGGCCACCTCTGTCCCTTTCTAGATCATTCTGTAAAAGGCTTTAAATAAAAACAGAATCTTGCCCCACCTTCCATATGCCCATTTCATACTCATTATTTTAACCATTTTAAGTGTTTTTTTCCTAGTATCTAACTCCATATATCAAAGTAACATATGTTTATACTGTTATTTCTTGATATTATATTTTAGACCTATTTTAATAGCTTCTTATTATGAAAAATAACAATTTTGCTCTCTATAGGCTCCCTCATCAATACAGTTGTACCATAATTTTTGGTTAAGTCAAAATTCATTGTTCAACTTGTTACATATACATAAATACTAGAGGCCTGGTGCACGAAATTCATACATGGTGTGGGAGAGTGGCCCCTCAGCCTGGCCTGCACCCTCTCCAATCTGAGACCTCTCAGGAATGTCTGACTGCTTCTTGCAATCTCGGATTGCTGGCTCCTAACCACCTCTGCCTGCCTGTCTGATTGCCCCTAACTTAAGGTGACCAGACATCTCGCTTTTGGCGGGACAGTCCCGATTTTTAACAATTTGTCCTGCATCCCACTGCATTTTAAAAAAGTCCTGATTTTTGGAAAGATTCCAAAAGATTTTTTCCAAAAATCGGAACTGTTTTAAAGCTCCTCGGGACAAATTATTAAAAATTGGGACTGTCCCACCAAAAGTGGGATGTCTGGTCACCTTACCCTAACTGCTCCCCTAATAGCCTGATCGCCCCTAATTGCCTCTGCCTTGCCCCACACCAGGACCCAAGATTCCCTCCTCTGGCCAGTCACAGGTACCTGGGACCCAGGCTTCCCTCCCTCTGGCCAGCTGCAGGCACCGAGGACCTGGGCCGGCTTCACAGGGGCCACCACAGCCGCAGGGGACCATGGGTAGGTGGCTTGGTCTGGGCTGCAGCTGCAGGGGCCTGGGACCATGGGGCTTGTGGCTTGTTTCTCTCCTGGGCCACAGGCCCAGCTACTGGTGCCTGGAACCATTGGGTGGGCGGCTTGTCCCTCTCCAGGGCTGCAGGTGCAGGCACAGCTGCTGGCACCTGGGACTGGGGGGCAGGTGGCTTGTCCCTTTCCAGGGCGGCTGCCTGGCTGGTCCTCATTCCTCTCTCCCCAGTCTTAGTGTGAGGACAACCATTTACA